TGGCGTCTGGACCTCATTCTCCTGTGGGGGGACGTTGTAGGTCCATGGGCTGTTGGACGGATGTGCTGACCTGAGGTGCGTCCCCCGTAGAGACTGCAAGAGTTTCTCGCGCTGGGCAGGTAGCTTGGTGGTTTTAAACTCCCGGAGGAGAAAGGTATTTCCTTAAGGTCCTTTCTTGGGAAAACGAGATGAAAGTTGAAACCATGATTGCAGAGGAGAGCAGGTTCCCACAGCCATTGGGATGACAGGAATTAAAGAAAACCCGTCCTCAGCTTAAACTCTGTCATTATGGGTGATGGCAGGACCAGGGAGGGTAGCGGCTGCCCCACCCAAGGTGCAGCCAGGGCCCTCCCCAAACAAGTGGCCACAGAGCTTCCTGCAGGGTCAGGGACTTAGCGCCCAGACAGAGCACCCACCTACCCAGGCAGTGCCTGATGCCTGGGAGCAGTACAGAAAGCTGTTGGGAGACCCCATGCTCCATCTGAAAATTTTAAAGCCTTTTTGTAACAGACTCGTCTCAGTTTTAAGATCTCAGGGACATTTCGTCTCCGCCGGACGTCTCAAGTCTGTAATCTTGTTTCACACACCCAGTCCCCAGACTCAAGACCTTGACCTCGCTGCTGGTAACCCACAGTTCAGAAGGGGTGTCAGCCAACACGTCAGCCAGCCAGACACCGCTGACATCGAAAGGCGGGGGTGGGTAATATCGAAAGGGCACAAGCCCCTCGCCCTCACCACCGTGACCTGGATTCTGAGAGCTCGCATGCCCTTGGGGGTATTTTCTCCGGGCTGTGTCACCTCCCAGGGGTGCCACAGGGTGCAGCTGTGGTCCCTCGGGTGCCCAGCAAGAGGAGGGAAGGGGGAGGCACCCAGGCCGGGACCCCACATACTCACCTCTCACCCGCGTCACAGCCTGGTGGCCGCAACTCACCAGGGGGGCCCACACCAACTGCGGGAGCCTGAGGGGTGCAGGGGCCCCAGTATCCGGAGAGCAGCAGTCACCCGGGGCCACAGGGGCGTATTTTGATGTTACCTTTTGTTTTCCATTCTGAGACAGGTTCATCAGAACTGGGTGAACTGGATGGGATTAGAGATCTTTGTCCTGTGCAGGCCTCTCTGGTCCAAGAGAAACTGTCCGGGAGGCTGGCTTGAGGCAGAAATGGTCTAGGAGTTAAACAGTACATTGCTTATCTGAGCGGGAGACAGAGCCGGTACACGGGAGCCCTCTGTACTGTCAGCTCCGTTTTCTCTCCACCTAAGAGCGCTGCGAGCATGAAAATCTGTCACCTAAAAATATTATACATGTTTTAATAAATATCGATTGTATATATTTTATATGTTTATGTAGGTCAATAATATTTTCATAATATATTTAATAACATATTTTAAATATATATTTATCTTTTAATATTTAATTTATAAATAACATTTATAAATAACATTTATAATAAATATAAATATTTATATATTTAAATATTTATGAATATTTATAAATAACATATTTATATTTATAAATAACATATTTATAAATATTTATAAATAACATATTTATATAATATACTTTTATATAGACATATTTAGTACGTTTTGTACATTTTAAGAGTATATATTATATAGGTTTAGCATTCTGTCCTCTGTCCTTCAGCTTTCCTGCTGAAGAAGAGTGTGCTCAGTGCCCCAGGACGGACGTGATGAGACCATTACAGGCAGATCCTACGTCGTAGTCCTTTAATTTTTTAAAGTTTTTATTTTTAATTCGCAACATTATAAACATAGAAAGGTAGAAAAACGTAATAACCATTCTATACCCACCATCAGAATGAAACATTCTAAGATTGTGCCACATTTTCTTCCATTTTATTTCACTTACTTTTTAAAGAAAAATTTTGAGACAACTCACACTTGGCTCCCATGGGTTTTCCCTCCTGAGTGGGAACTGCTGTTCTGATTTTCGGTTATATATGTATATATATCGATAGGGCCATAGCCAACTATATAATTAGTTTATATATGAAAACTTTATACCAGTGGGGTCTGTTCTGCGATGAGTTGATTTTCCCCTTCACTGTTTCGTGTCAATACATGTCACCTGAATCGGTTTGTCCCGGCTGCTCTGTGATTACTCCTGATGTGGACAGAGCGTCCTCACTTTGTTTCCTGGTGGCATGGGCGCTGTTGCCCATCAGTTCCCTGGTAACTCACCAAGCGTCCTCGAGGGCGGGCGACACTCCTTTCTCGGTTCCGGGGGACGCACAGCCAGATGCAGAGGTCACCCTCAGGAAGCATGTGGTCCGTTCAAGAATGGGGATGCACACACGGTGTGCAAAGAAGGGAAGGATGGTGTATGTCATTCATGAGCAAGTGAGGGGTGTCGGGGAATAAATGCTGGGGCCGGGGGCGTGGCTGGTGAGTGCAGGGGAAGCGGGCACGGCCTTGCTTCTGTAAACAAGGGGTTCACGCAAGTTCGTGGTGATCTGTTAACAGTGGGCACGAGAGGCTCATACACCTGCGTGTTAGGGTTTTGACCCAACCGCAGGCAGACCTCCCCCAGTCACGAGCGAGCCTTGGAAGTGTGCGAACTCCAAAGAGCAGGGGCATCTCTCCTGCAAGGAGTGGCCGTTCCAGGGTCTGGGGACCTCAGTGCCACCCCCTGTGTCAGTGAGGTTGAGGACGCTGCCCTGCAGGTGCCGAGGCTGTGAAGACACTGCTTCCTGCATGTAAAACAGCAAAACTCCTTGAAGAAGTCTGTCTGGGGATTTCGCTTTCAGTTTTGGAGAAACTGGTCTCTACTGGAAGCAGACGTTCTGGGGACACACATATGCCAGAGGCCCAGGGGCCCAGAGATGAAGGTGTGCGGTGGGCCGTGCCTTTCAGGCCCGCGCAGGGGCCGACCTGGCTGGGCGGGTCCCTTCCTCGGGCCCCTGTGGGTGAAGCTGCATGGGGTTGAGTGGTCTGGGCTGCCCAAGCCTGTTTGCCCGTAGGCTCTGTAATATTTTGCACTTGGCTCTGAAGAAGGTGAGTGTCTCAGCTTGGGCCACCATCACAAAGTACTGGGGGCTACACGACGGGCTGTACTTATCCCAGAGCTGGAGGCTGGACGCCCAGTGTCAAGGTGCCAGCTGATATGGTTCCTGGTGAGGGCTCGCTTCCTGCCTGCAGACGGCCGCCTTCTCCTTGTGGCCTCACGTGGCAGAGAGAGAGGGGGACGCAGCGGGTGGGGGACTCGGGTATCTCTTCCTCTTCTTAGGACACCAGCCCTATCTGATTAGGGCTCAGCCCTTATGACCTCATTTCACCTTAAGTACCTCCCTACGGGCCTCTCTCCAAATACGGCAACATTGGGGGTTAGGGCTTCAGCATATGAAGTTCAGGTACACACTACAGTCCGTAGCAGTGAGGCTTTAGGGGCTGCGTTCGGGGCACGATGGCAGAGCCTCCCAGGGCCCCTCCCCACGGGGCCTACACTTCGCTGCATCCCGTGTCCATGGTTTTCCTCTGTCGCTCAGCCCTTCCGACGCCCTTGCCCACGTGCATCTGAGTCCCGTGCTTTGTGCTCTTTGGGATGACACGAGTCCTTCCGAAGTTGCAGAGCTTTCCGGTGCCTGTCCTCTGTGTCTAATGGAGGTTTTAGCTTCCACGTCACTGAGTTTGTCAGTCTCTCCCTTTAGGCCTTGTATTGGTGCATTCTTGAAAGAAAGGCTTTTCCCCTCTGATTGATTCAACAAATAATCATTTCACGTATGTGTGGTAGGTTGAGTCACGGCCCCCAAAGATATCCAGGCTGTAACCCCTGGACTCCACGAATGGGACCTTATGTGGCAAAGGGGGCTTTGTGGAAGGTCAGGATCTTGGGATGGGGAGGTGGTTCTGGACGATTTGGGTTGGCCCTGAATGTAATCTCGGGGTCCCCATTAGAGGGAGGCAGAGGGGGTCTGACACAGATGCACTGGAGGGAGAAGGCGGGCTGACTGTCTGGGGGAGTAGAGGTCACCCTAGAACCTGAGGAGGGCAAGGAAACGGAATCTTTCCTGGAATCTCTAGAAGGAATCAGCCCTGACCACACCTTGGCATTAGCCCCGTGTGGCTCATTTAGGATTTCTGCCTCCAAAGCTGAGAAAGAATACCTTTCTGTTGTTTTATTCCAGTAAGTCTGTGCTCATCTGTTACAGCAGTGAAGGTGTGAATAAGAGTGAATAAGAGATCTTCTATTATGGTTCATTTCGTATTTTTTTCTTCTAGACGTTTATAGGTTTGCTTTTCACAGTCAAGTCTTGAGCGCGTGTGGCATTGGTTTGCGTGTACGGAGCCAGGTGGGCTCTGCTTCTTACATTTTCTACATGAATACCCCACGATGTCCGCATCACGTATGTACTGGTTCTTTTCCCTCCGACGCACCGACACAGATTGGATACCGGCATTTACAAGGCCTGTTCCGAGCTCTCTGTTTTCCCACTGATCTCCGTGTCTGTCTTTGTAGCAAGGTCATCCTGACCTCACATTATAACTGCTTAGGAAGCCTTGGCAAACGATCGAGTGATTCCCCTCTTGGTTTCCAAAGTTGTCCTGGTTATTTTGGGCTCTTTCCCCTCGTCCACACACTTTACAATCAGAATGTTGAGTTCTGTGAACAGTGCTACCAGGTTTTCTGTTGGAAGTTACAGCACATCCGTATACTGTGGAGAACCTTTGTCTTTAAGGAATGAAACCCTGTGATGATGGTGGATCTCTCCATCCATCTGGGTCTTCCTTCATTTCTTTCTTTCTTTGTTCTAAATGGTGTCCTATGAATTTTCTCCATAAAGGTCTAGCACAGGTTGCTTTAGATATTTTTTCTTAGATATTTTTGGCTATCGTTGGGAGTACGATAGTATTTTTTTTAATTTAATTTAATTTAATTTATTTTTGGCTGCATTGGGTCTTCGTTGCCGTGCGTGGGCTTTCTCTAGTTGCGGTGAGCGGCGGCTACTCTCCGTTGTGGTGCGCGGGCTTTTCATTGTGGTGGCTCCTCTTGTTGCGGAGCATGGGCTCTAGGCGCGTAGGCTTCAGTAGTTGTGGCACACGGGCTCAGTAGTTGTGGCTCACGGGCTCAGTTGCTCCGTGGCATGTGAGATCTTCCCGGACCAGGGCTTGAACCTGTGTCCCCAGCCTTAGCAGGCGGATTCCCAACCACTGCGCCACCAGGAAAGCCCCCATAGTATTTTTTAAAATGTTTTTTAATTGTCTATTGCAAATGTAACAGAATTCAGTTAACTTTTGTGTATTAATTTCTTATCTGACATTTGCTGTACTTTTTCACTGGTTTAAATAATTTATTACTAGATCCTCTTGGCTTTTCCACACAGAGAAGCATAATATCTGAAAAGTAATTATTTTCCCCCATCCTTTTAATCCTGAAACAATGTATTCACTTATCTGTTGGCTTGTTTATCGATTATATTGATGTTTGCTACAGGACTGGGGGAGATGCACTGTTCCAGTTAAGGAAATGCTCTTTTAGTTTTCGTGTTCTAAGAGTTTGGGTCCTGACTGAGGGGGTTTCATTTCCTAGTCCCCTGACATCCACCTTGGGGCTGTCAGGGTCTGGGCCTCTGGTCCCTGAGGACACAAGGACTGTTGAACACAGCTTGGGTTTGAGAGGCGCCGGGAGAGACCGCCTCCCAGGAGAGGGACGGACTTCTTGGCTCTCATTTTTCTTCGGGTGAATTGATTCTTGGTTTCTGCAACAATGTTAGACGAGTGAGCCACTCGTGTTGTGAAGAGGTTAGGAGCTGGGTGCACGCTGGTTGGTCAGAATCTCTTAATTTATGCTGGAAGAAAACGGAAATGTGGGCCTATGATAAAAACAGGATTTCTTTAGAATTGTGTGGCCCCGTTTACCTTAGAGGCTCAGACGGGAGCCCCCTGTGGCCCTATGGGAAAGCCAGCCTGGCTCTCTCCAGGACTGGGGGAGGCGGAGACCAAGGCCGTCTTGAGTCCGGACAAGGAAGCGGTGGGGACCACAGTCCTGTTGCCTGGAGAGCACACAGTCCCGAGGGAACTCTGCAGCACGGAAGGGAAGTGGGTTCAGCTCCAAATCCCAGCATTTCTGTTAATCTACCCAGAACCCCTCTCAACACTCCCGTGTGCACGTAGAACACGCCACGAAGGCGCGTGAGCCTTCCTCTCATAGTCAGCGATCTTCGATGGAGACATCATTTTAATTCAGGCAGCTCCTTTTCTGATTCGGGGAAAATGATTTTGGCTGAAGGAGGAGGTATTGAGTAACTGTAAGCCTGGAGCCCTTTTCTTCTGAGTCGAGGAATATTTCAGATTTCGCGCCGTGCGTGTCTTTACGCAGTAAGGACCTGGGGCGGCTGTGCTTGGCAGGGAGCTGGCCTGTGGGGGACGTGCACTGGAGGCGCGTGACACAGCTGCTGTGCGAGATGACATTTGTCCTCTCCAGGGGAAAGCGTTTCGGGGGCAGGTGCTTTTGGGAAATGCAGCGTTTGCCACTCTCTGAGACGACCACTCTGATCAATTCTGCGGTAAAGCGATGGGTGCATTTTTGTTTAATCTAGTTATGTTTCCCAAACTTCTTTGACCAGGGGTGGATTGGAGTGTATGTGATGGAATGGTTCTCAGAACACTAGCTGGGAATCATTGGAGGTTAACAGGGCGGTATGGACAACAGGTATTCCCGGGAGAGAGCGAGGAGAGGGGAGGAGAGTCTGTATAGTTTGGGGAGTCGGGTCTGACCTGGGCTGGGGTGAGCCAGGCTTGAAGGAAAGACTTGGGGGAGCTCGGGAGAGGATCCCAGGGGGAAATGATGGTACCGACAAGCCGTGGGAAGAGAGGACAGACCTCGTCCTCTGAGTTCCTCCGAAGATGCAAGATGGGATGGAAACGGAGAGTTTATTTTAGACAGTGGCTATGGAGATGCCAAGAAAACCTGGCTACATGGCGTATTCTGGTCATCAGTGTGGTTCATGCACCCATTTAAGGAGAACGTCAGGAGGGTCTCACCCCCGTGTGAGTTTCCTGGGGCTGCCGTAGCCAAGTCCCACAGCCCGGGGGGCTCACACACAGACATTCACTGTCCCCAGTCCTGGAGGCTGGAATCCAAGATCCAGGTGTGCACAGGGCTGGGTCCTCTTGAGGCCCCTCTCCTCCGCATATAGATTGTCTCTCTGTGTGTCCTGACCTCCTCTTCTTATAAGGACACCAGTCCTGTGGGATTAGGGCCCCACCCTAGTGACCTCATTTCACCATAATCACCTCCTGAAAGACCCCAACTCCAAATACAGCCACATTCTGGGGTGCTGGGGGTCAGGACTCCAACATGTGAATTCGATGGGGAGACACAGGGGCTAGCGCCACGCTGGTGGCCGGGGTCTGCGTTTACACCACCCCCCGGCCCTGCGGCGTGGTAGAGGGTGTGGCCCTAACAGATGGGGTGGCTGCCATGTGGCGCCATGTGGGCTGCAGCTGCGGTCACTCTGCTGGGGGTAGTTGAGGGGGGCGGCTTCCAGGCAGGGGTTCTTGGAAGAGGGAGGTGGTGCTTGACCTGAATCCTGGTGTCTCCCCGTACTCTGAGGTGTGGTCTGAACCCTAGACCACCCCTACCAGATTCTGATTCAGTTACTGGGGGGCTGGTGTTGCAGCAACTTCCAGGGCAGCCCATGCCCCTGACCACTGCCCTGGGGCCTCCGGGTCCCTTCTCAATGGATGTGTTGTATGGGTGCAGGGAGAAGTAACACGGATTAAATGAACACAGAGACACAGGGCATGCTTTTTTCTCACCTTCCCAGGCTGCTCTCATGCTCCACCTGGCCCACTCCTCCCCGAAACCCACCTACTTCCACCACCCTCACTCGCTCTCAGCCTGCATTGACCATCATCTGTTAGCAACTCTCAAACAGTGCGATAGAACCCGGGCTCCTCCCGAATCCGGTTCCAGACCTGCCGGTTCTGGTGGAGGCTGCTGCCAATCTTTGGCTGTGACCTTGACCCGAGTTCCCGTGTCTGTACAGAGTGCCAGTGCAGCCCCTCAGGGAAGGGGTGGTCTCACTGCTTTGAGGATAAGACAGTTATATACATTCGAATGTGCAAAATAAATGAATAGTCACAAAATCTTGCTTCCAGTGTGTTAAACGTGTCGGGTGTCTTTGAGATTCCAGTTGAATAAAAACCTCTTTTTTGCAAGAAAATCACACACACACACACACACACACACACACACACACACACACACACACACACACACACACACACACACACACACGATATAAACCAGAGCTGTGGACTCTCTCCATTTTTAAGGTGATCTTCATATAGATGATTCTTGCAACTTTGACCTTGATAAAGTCAGCCTCGGCCATGGGTTTTTTTGTTTGTTTTTACTACCAAAACCAAACTGACTTCTGTCCCAGGTCAGGTTTCATATTTTCTCTGTCTCTGGAAGGAACCAAGAGGAAAACCTAGCTGTCTGTTCCTCACAGGTGTTAGGGGACCCATGAGACAGTTTAAGATTTTATGTTTTCTTGGAACAATTGCATGCTTGCCTGGAACACTTCAGCAGCAGGACATGGAGTCTTTGTTGAAATTGCTTTTACCACCGTTATTTTCTTTTTCCCTTATTAATAGGTACCCAGCGGGGCCAATGAAACAAACACGTTCTAAGAGACATTGAACTTTATCGACTTGTGTTTGTAGAGCTTGGTATTTTCCCCGAGAGGTTAGTTATACTAGAAACGTCTGCCCGTGGGTGGTGAGTCACCTTCCCTCCCGTGTCCTGGCGCTGACTTTTCTTGGGGGAGGTGGTATCCAGACTGAGTTTTGGTCTTTCGGTGCCTCTCCTCGGAACCTCCCCCACCCCCTCATGATGATGGGGTTAGAGAAGCCTGTGTGAATTTCAGATGGATGTTGTTTTAGCGTGAGTATGCCCCGTGCGCTATTTAGGGAGTACTTAGGATAAAGCGTATCCGTTGTTTATCCAAAATGTAAATGTCCCCCGGTGCCCTCTGTGTCACCTGCGATCCCACCCACAGTTAATAATTAAGTGTTTTCCCAGGTGTTTGCTTTTCCCATGGATCAGGTGATCACGTTACCCAAACCCGTTATTAAGGTCAAGACCTTCTTGCTGGGACTTTTGGCCTGAACTCCTAGGACATCCCGGAAGGAAGCAGGTGCCGGTGCTGCCTTTTCCCTTTCAGACCCGTCCAGTGGGTGTTGGTGGCAGACACGTCCCTGTGTGACAATCACCCCTAAGCCGATGTGAGGGCCACGGTGGGGTCCTCGTGGCCAAATGATGTCTGTGGCCGGTGGGGAAGTTGGGGACGCAGGACCCCTTCCCCTTGGTGTTGTCAGTTCTGTTCCCAGAGTCGATTTGATTGTAGCCTGGCGCAAACATCCTCAAACCACCACCATCACCGCTTTCGCTTTTCTGGAAAGAAGACCCTGGGGTCAGACACACCTTATTGTTTAGGCCTGTGTGTCCACGACGGGTCACCAGCATGGGGTCTGCAGCTGCAACGTCACCCTGGAAAAACAACGAATTTCCAACGTCTGTACATTCCAAGCTTTTGCCTCTCATCTGACCTGTCTCAAAACCACCTGCGGATCTGGAAATGTGGGCTGTTCACAGTCCTGCCCAGCAGCAGTGGCTGGAGTTTAAAGGCGGCTGACGCCTGCAGACCCGGCATGTGGCTGGGCTCTGAGCTTCCGCCAGAACTTGGCACCTCCCCGAGGCCTGCTGCCCCCCGCTCCTGCCCAGGGTTCAGCGAGTGTCCCCTGTGCCCCAGATGATGGAGGGACAGTGAGGATGGATGGAAATGCTGCATTAGCAAGAGGATGAGACGGAAAGCACGTCCGAGGGCTTTAGAGAAAATGGACATGGTGGAAGTGAATGATCGGGGCACAATTACTTTTAAAAAATTTCAAGCCATGGTAGCTGTTTCTGGAAGCTGGACCTGGAATGCACCTGAGGGAGGCACGCCAGGGCCTGGCAGGGATGGGCCGGGGCTGTGTCTGCTCTGACCTGGCTCTCCATGCGCCCGATTCTCGAAAGCTGGCACTGAGGCCCACACTGCCGGAAGCCGATGAGCTTTCTGGGGTCCCAGCTCATCCTGCATGGGAACGCTGCCCCAGAGACCCTCACCCTAACCCCAGCTACAACCCTAACCCTACCCCAACCCTAACCTCTACCCCAACCCTAACCATACCCCAACCCTAAACCCTACGCCAACCCTAACCTCTACCACAACCCTAACCCTACCCCAACCCTAAACCCTACCCCAACCCTAACCCTAACCCTACCCCAACCCTAAACCCTACCCCAGCCCTAAACCCTACCCCAACCCTAAACCCTACCACAACCCTAACCACTACCCAACCCTAACCCCTACCCTAAACCTAACCCTACCCCAACCCTAACCCTACCCCAACCCTAAACCCTACCCCAACCCTAACCTCTACCCAACCCTAACCCCTACCCCAACCCTAAACCCTACCCCAACGCTAACACCTACCCCAACCCTAACCCTAACCCTACCCCAACCCTAAACCCTACCCCAACCCTAACCTCTATACAACCCTAACCCTAACCCCAACCCTAACCCTACCCCAACCCTAACCTCTACCACAACCCTAACCCTACCCCAACCCTAACCCTACCCCAGCCCTAACCCCTACCCTAACCCTAACCCTTACCACAACCCTAACCCTACCCCAACCCTAACCCCACCACAACCCTAACCCCTACCCCAACACTAAACCCTACCCCACCAGCAGTCGCCCCTGCCCCTGCCCGTGCCTGGCCTCCACGGACCTGACCGTGGTTCCTCCTCATTTGGTACGGATCCCCACCTGTGATGTGATGTCCCGTCCCATTATCCCTCTGCCTGTTTTCTGCTGGTCCCTGCTGGGTTCTGAAGCAGCACAGACACGGGGTCAGGAGGGGAAGAAGCAGCTCTTCCTGGGGCAGAAGCTACTCTGTACTAACTTCCACCCATCAGGACAGAAAGAAGCCACCGAAGCCCGGAGAGACCAGACCCGACACCCGCGCCCGTCCCATCCACCACTGACGTGGCCCCTCACCCCCCAGGAGGAGGCGGGGCTCATCCCTCCGTGTCTCTCTGTGCTGATGCCTAGTGATTCACAGTTACAGGCACGGACTCGGCTCCAGGCGACCCGGAGCTCTCACTCACTGCATTCAGCTGGGGGGCCATCTACAGATAATGTCGATATTGGGGCCTCGCCCAGACCAATTGAATCAGACCTTCTGGCACCACTGGTTTTGTTTTTGTTTTTAAAGATCCCACATAACTTCCCTGTGCAGCCAGGATGAAGAACCCCTCTTCTAGAGGATATGCTTCATAGAAACCTGGAAACCTAGTTGGAAATAATTATGTATACCCAACTGTATAATACACAATTTACATTTATATTACGTTATAATATATTATGATAATTACACACATATAAGTATATGTAATATAATAATATACAATTATTTCTATATTATAATTGTAACTGTATTACATAGTGTGTATGTAGCATGTAATTATGCCAGGCACTTACTTTTTTCCTGTATAAATGGTGAACGAGCGAATGCAGGAGTGAACGTGTTAGTAGAAGGTGCCGCCAGGCTGTCTGGGACGTTCCTAAGGTAGAACCGGGAGTATCCAGACCCTGCCCTTGGCCACAGCCCTCTCCACCCTCTCCACGTCTTGCACGTGTACGGTTGGGAAAACATGAAGCTGAAATGACAAAGGCATTTGGCGGTGAGCACAGGAATTCCCAGGTGCCCTGAAATCTTAATGCAGAACGACACGGGTGAATTCTGGAAATTTTAATTTAAGAAGTCAGATCTCCCTGGGTGATTTGGATGATCTGCTGTTTGAGATGTTTAGCTGGGGACCCCTCACGGGTGGTTTGAAGGCAGAAGACAGAGGAGAAGGCCAGCCTGGGGAATTGGGCGGATCGGTCGTCAGGTGCACAGACTCACGGCCCGTGGGCCAGGGAGAGAGCCGGGCAGGAGGGACATCTGGCAGCATGGAGCCTCTTGGTTCCGGGAGGACCTGGGGGAGAGAGCGGGCTGGCCAGGGAGGTCGCCGCAGCTGGCTCCTGCCCCGAGCGCTGTGTGGCCACCCCCAGCAACGCCAGATTCTCCCGAGGGTCACGGTGAGCCAGAAATCTGTGTTTTCATGTGAAGCCTCTGGGTTAGGACACATTCTAAACCCTCTGCAGGCCAAACAGAACAGCATCTGGGGGCCACACTATCCCGGCCCCTTCCCCAAGGATGGTCCAGATCCTCGTGGCTGGAAGGGAGCCCCTGACCTAGTCACGGTCTTGCCTTTCCCTGGGTGAGGGTGCGTTTCTAAAGTGCCTCCCGCACTTTGCCGGGCTTTGTGTGTCTGGTCAGTTGCTGCAAATGTCCAGGGACCTGGTGGACGA